AAAAAAAATCACTGAGCAGAGATTGGCGCGCAGACCCACCCGCTCAGTGCTTCCGGTCCGGTCACATTTGAATACAGATGCAGTATGGATCATTACGGCAAACAATGCAAAGCCAACGGCACCAGTGAAGCTGAGTTTACCGTATGTGAGCGCAGTTAGTTACACATTTTACGCCGCATAATTAAGGTGACTTATAATGACCGATTTTCCCTATTGTTCAAGACTAGATATGTGCGCGCACGAGCCTTTTTTCAGTTACACATTTTTACGACAGGGATCACGTGCTGATATTACATTTACTGAAATATTTTCATTTACTAACCTCTCTCGTAGTCACCTCTTCTTTTTCCGACACTTTGACCATTAGCCGGTCATTCTCCAATTCCAGCGCCCGCACGCGATCGATGTACACAGCCAGCCTGTCGTTCAGATGCTGCAACTCCTGTTTCTCCTGTAAACGAGAAATCCGAGTCGGGGAGAGAGGAGTGGAGGCCGCTGACCGGCCAGCTTCACGGCTTGGGGTAGCGCTTGCAGTCGCCATAGCGGTTCCTTCAAAATTCTGTCTGAGTTTTCCTGAGCACTCAGCGAGCAAAAGAAAATAAATGACTGTATCTACTGGCTTTGTTAGATCGGGATGCAAAACAGCTCCTCTTGATAGTTAGCGCCAGGATATCGCAATCAATGAGCCGGAGGACCACGCAGTGTCTCGAACGCTTGCTTTACACAGTGATGTGATTCCAAGATGGCCGCGGTCAGGACCGCGCCAAAAGCAGAGGACACTTCCTGTCCGCAATGGCTGATGGGAAAGCAGAGGTACGGGAAGGGCGTAACGTAACGCATTACCTCCTGTCTAAACAAAAGCACCTTTAGAGGTTTTTTTTCGAAAATGTCCCGTGACTTTAACATTATGAAGGACAGCTTCCCCACCAAAACCCTCGAAAAATTACCAGAAAGAACTGTTCACACTTGATAGTACTGAAGAGGATTAGGGCCACTGGGGAAAAAAAAGCGGGAACGTATTTTTTTTTCTTCTTTTCCTGAATTCTGAGAAAAAAGTCAGAATTCTGACTTTAATCTCAGAATTCTGACTTTTTTTTCTCAGAATTCTGACTTTTTTCTCAGAATTCTGACTTTAATCTCAGAATTCTGACTTTAATCTCAGAATTCTGACTTTTTTCTCAGATTTTTTTTCCAGTGGCCCTAATCCGTTTATGATAGCAATAGGATAGGGTTACACAGGTGCATATAAAGACTGTGACGTCAGGCCATAAAACCAAACTTCACCTTTCCTGTATGCTTAGAAATAGAAGCAGTTATTCTGGTAAATGACAGTATATTTATATTCCTGTGAGTGCCAAACATAGTGTGTGTGTGTGTGTGTGTGTTTCATTGTTCTACTGTGCTTCATTGATCTGGTAACAGTGACAATAAAGATCTATCTTATCTTATCTTATGTTATCTTTTTATACAGTATGTCAGCATTCAAAAACAACCGCTACAAATATAAAACATTCTATTACATATTTATCCCGCTTGTAAGCAGTGTTGCTCAAGTTACTTGAAAATAGCAATTATTTGCTAATTACTGATTACTCCTCCAAAAAAGTAATCCTGTTACTTTATTGAATACTTATTTCCAAAAGTAATTAGCTACTTATTACTTAGTTACTTTTTAAAAACATGAAACCCAACATAATTCTATTGTTTGAGCATAATCCATCATATAAAATTGAAGTCTCTTTTAAAAACTTGTTTTATTAATTTTAATCTTTTAACTTTATGCGCATTGCAGTTAAATGATATGCAATAGTGTTTGACTTGAAGAAATTTCCTGTATATTCCAGCATATAAAATAAAATGGGTTTTTTTGTGTTTACACTCACTATTTCAAATATATGAAAGTAAAACACTGCAAAAAATAAATAAAATTAAAGATTCAGCGGCACTAACTCCTGTTGTTCTTAAATCTATTTTCACCTGTTTAGCAGGAGTGGCGCCGGTGGAGGTTTTCCTGGTGCCGCAGCTTTCATGTCAATGGGGGGATCCGGGGGTTTGCTCAGATTTGAAGTTTAATTTTTCACTGTAGAAAGAGGTTTTCTTCCCACACAGAGTGTACAGCAGACGCTAAGGTTTTTGTCACTTTTTTTCAGAGTCAAACTCAAAGTAATGTCAGTACTTCCAAGCTTTAAACGCTGCATGGTCGTACTCTCTCCAGCAACACACATCTGTTGCTGCCACAGATGTCGCACGCTCATACGTCATTGCCATGAGACATTCTCACAAACAAAATCACAGTTTAGTAATACAGCGTACTTACGAGAAAGTAACAGTAATATAATTACTTTTTTGCAATAGTAATCCCTTACTTTACGTGTTACTTGAAAAAAAGTAATCGGATTACAGTAACGCTTGTAAGTGCCAAAATTATAACTAATTGACACATTAAATATAAACTTGTGCTTTTATGTAAAATACTGAACATGAAATTAACACAAATCCATTAACATGAATTTACCTCTATTGAAAAAAACTAAACAAGACTTTTAACAAAAATCTCAAATTATGTTTGTTTGTTATTGTCCATTTATGGAAATATAAGCAGCCTCCTAGAAAATCCTAAAAATATTTTTTAACTCTGTAGAGTTTATTATGTGGAGGCAACGCAAAGACAGCCTGCACTTCTGATTTATAAACAAAATTTGGGAGCTGTTTTCATTTTGTTCTCAGTGGAAGAGTTGGATGGAGGAGGTTGCTCTTTGGTGAGATTAATGGCAGAGGCGTAAATCCTATCCTATCCTATGGTTTGTGGGTAAATGTTAGAAATGAGAAAAAGACAAACACCCATGTCGAAAAGTAGAGGGCTCATAGTTGAAGGTTTTAAAGGCGATAGCATACACAAAACATATGGAATACATAATAATAAAGATTATGATCTCTACACTGAAAATAATTAATCAGCATTCACACTAATTTTAACAATATGATGAAACAACAAGTAAGTCTGGTACCAACTAGTGAAAGCGACGATTAGTCAGGTAGTCGACCAGTCGTGCACATCCTTAAGCCCAACACTCATAAGTAGATTATGAAACTAAAGACTCATAGAAATGGAGTAATTTCTTATTTATGAGTACACAGTTGTTAAACCTACTTAATATTTACTAATAAATGATCAGTTTAACTAATTAGCCCCCACATATTTAGGGATTTTTAGATTTATACCAGATTTTATTTTCAGACACGGCAAACAATGATTATGTCAACATCTTTAATCAATGACATTATCAAAACCACAAACGAGGTACAAAATGATTCCCTTCACTCTAAAACATCAAGGTGTATGGAGCTCTTCAAATGTAGGTTGGCTCAATACCTTGAACAGTGTACTACTCTCTGCAGAACTGGATGATGAAACATTTTAACTCCACACTTGTCTTATTATTATATATTATAATAAGACATGATTATTTATCATAAATAATTATAAATAAGACAGTTTAAAGCAAGGCAAATGCTGGCTGGGGAGATGGCAGCCCCCCAAAAAGGTAATTCAAATATGCTAAATTCGTGACTGATGATATTGGACTGCAATAATTACTCTGTTAATGTAACAATTTGATCTTTTTCACCAATTTTGTCATTTTCAAAAACATGAAGTTTACTTTCAGAGAAGAGAAAAGAAAACAGAAATGCTTTTTTTTAGAACCATTTCTATTTGTTTTGTGAATGTTTTCAACCAGATTAACTGATTAGCAGGGTAGTTGAAAATATATAATAATCCCCAAAATCCTTTTTTTTTTTTACAGTGTATTGCCTTCGTCAGCAGCCTCTCTACAACTGTGTGGCTGAGCTTCAGCCTGCGCTGGGATGTTGAGTTCATTCATTAGCTTGTGAAAACTTTGTGTGTGCATAGCTTGCCACATCAACAACGTATGCGTGTTTTTCTCGAGGTGTTGGAAACAGAGTTTGTTATGGGAGCCCAGCCAAATGCGGGAATTGCAGTTGTCACAATTCACACAACGGACACGAGCACTGTGTGGGATTCATGGAGAATCAGCACGGACCCACAGTGCGAGGATTGTCACCTATTGTTGTTCACTTTTTATCACTGTAAATAAACTCACTGCCTTACACAGCTACTGTGTATTTCGGGGTCAGTGGCCACAGATACTGTGTGTTTTGGGCCTGGTCAGCTCATTAAAACAGGTACTGTTTGTTGTGCTAGGCCACCGGCAACAGTGAACTTGGGTTTTGCTTCTAAGTTAGAAGGTGTCTGGGAAGGAATCTCAAAACTGGATTATAGATGGCAGACAGCTGGTGTCATAAGCCACCAGCTCTGTTCAAAGATGGTCGTTCACAATGGGCATAGATGGCTTCTTTCACTCCTCTTTCAAACAATCTGTCTAATCTGTCCAAAATGTGAACATCGGCATCCTCGAAAGAGTGACCTTTGTCCTTAAGATGCAGATGGACAGCCGAGTGTTGTCCTGTTGACCTGTCTGTCTGACCTTCTTTTCTGTGCATCTTTGCTGATTTGATGATCAAAAAAGAGCTTTCTTTACAAGTGTGTGTTCCCTCTTTTTCCCTTCTGGTTTAGAGGGAACATTTTCTGCCCAGTGTTTTAGGGTCCTGATTAGGGATGGGTATCGTTTAGGTTTTATCCGATACCGGTGCCAAATCGGTACTTTTGAAATGGTGCCGGTGCTTAAACGGTGCTCGAACCGGTGCTTAAAGAATGGAGAACACAAACTTTGTCCAAAAACCTCTCATGTTCAGCTGTTTCCCACTTTTTCTTTGGTCATTTTAGCCTTTTTGTCCAGGGTGAAGGGAGTATCTGCCATCAAACAAGAGGACAGCCGCATGTAGCTATGATCATGTTTGCTAGTTCACCTTACCTGCATTAATGTAATAACGTGGTTAGCCTACTCAACGTAAATTACACTCGAACAACATTAAGCGACTCACGCAGAGAAGAACGGCTGCTGCCATCATCATCATTTCTGCTACACTGGCAGGGCTAGGGGCCAGGACTCTATTCTTCGGGGTTTTGGGGGATGTTGCTCCGGGTCCGATAACTGGCAACCCACCCAACGTGCACAGTGTGAGGTCTCGCAGCAAGCTATCAAATACGGCGCATTTCTCGGCTTTTAAAAAAAACGCTATGCGTCGCCAGGTGTTTCATCGGATTCGAGGTGTTACTTCCTTTGACAGTATCACAGTATCAGCTTAAAGCACTTGTTGCAGGCTGCTGAGTTTGCATATTTTGCTGTGAAGTACAGCTAGACTTTTGACCGCTTCGCCTTGGACATTTTTAATCTGTAGCTCTGCTCTAACAGAACGTACGTACCTGGCCCCGCCTATCCTCGGAAACGTAAAATGATTGGCTAGAATCTAACAGGAAAAAAAAAGCACCGAAATAAAGCACCGAAATGTGCGCTGCTTTTCGGTCTGGTTACTACCGTTTATGTCAGATGGCACCGGACACCGGTACCCATCCCTAGTCCTGATTACTCCAAGTTTGTGTCCCAGAGGGCGTTGGGAGTCAAAGAGGAGGTACTGGTCTGTGTGTGTGGGTTTCTGGTAAACTTCCATACACCGGACGGACGTCAACGCGCCACCTGGACCTGCCGCGGCTGAGCTGGAGGACAACGTGCCACCTGGATCTGCCGCAGCTGAGCTGGAGGACAACGTGCCACCTGGATCTGCCACAGCTGAGCTGGAGGTCAGCAAGCCATTTGGACCGGTTAGGAGGTCAGAGCACCGTCTGACCTGCCGCGCCTGAGCCGGAGGTCAACGCGCTGCCTGTACCTGCCACGGCTGAGCTGGAGGACAACGTGCCACCTGGATCTGCCGCACCCAAG